CACCCCCCACCGTCCCTCCCCTATTTCCCCACAACTGACCCCAGTGTGTAGTGCTCCCCTCCCTGTGTCCATGTGTTCTCACTGTTCAACACCCGCCTATGAGTGAGAACATGCGGTGTTTGATCTTCTGCTCTTGTGTCAGTTTGCTGAGAATGATGGTTTCCAGGTTCATCCATGTCCCTACAAAGGACCCAAACTCATCGTTTTTGATGGCTGCATAATATTCCATGGTGTATATGTGCCACATTTTCCCTATCCAGTCTATCGTTGATGGGCATTTGGGTTGGTTCCAGGTCTTTGCTATTGTAAACAGTGCTGCAATGAACATTCGTGTGCACGTGTCCTTATAGTAGAATGATTTGTAATCCTTTGGATATATACCCAGTAATGGGATTGCTGGGTCAAATGGAATTTCTATTTCTAGGTCCTTGAGGAATCGCCACACTGTCTTCCACAATGGTTGAACTAATTTACACTCCCACCAACAGTGTAAAAGTGTTCCTATTTCTCCACATCCTCTCCAGCATCTGTTGTCTCCAGATTTTTTAATGATCGCCATTCTAACTGGCGTGAGATGGTTATCTCAATGTAGTTTTGATTTGCATTTCTCTGATGACCAGTGATGATGAGCATTTTTTCACGTTTGTTGGCCTCACGTACGTCTTCTTTTGTAAAGTGTCTGTTCATATCCTTTGCCCACTTTTGAATGGGCTTGTTAGTTTTTTTCTTGTAAACCTTTTTAGTTCTTTGTAAATTCTGGATATCAGCCCTTTGTCAGATGGGTAAACTGCAAAAATTTTTTCCCAATCTGTTGGTTGCCGATTCACTCTAATGATTGTTTCTTTTGCTGTGCAGAAGCTGTGGAGTTTGATTAGGTCCCATTTGTCTATTTTGGCTTTTGTTGTCAATGCTTTTGGTGTTTTGGTCATGAAGTCCTTGCCTACACCTATGTCCTGAATGGTTTTGCCTAGATTTTCTTCTAGGGTTTTTATGGTGTTAGGTCTTATGTTTAAGTCTTTAATCCACCTGGAGTTAATTTTAGTGTAAGGTGTCAGGAAGGGGTCCAGTTTCTGCTTTCTGCACATGGCTAGCCAGCTTTCCCCACACCATTTATTGAAAAGGGAATCGTTTCCCCATTGCTTGTTTTTGTCTGGACCACTAGCCAGATTAATAAAAAAGAAAAGAGAATAACGATAAAGGGGATATCACCACAGATTCCACAGAAATTCAAACCATCATCAGAGATTATTACAAACAACTCTATGCACACAAACTAAAAAACCTGGAAGAAATGGATAAATTCGTGGACACTTGCCTCCTGCCAAGCCTAAACCAGGAAGAAGCCGAAACCCTGAACAGACCCATAACAAGGTCTGAAGTTGAGGCAGCAATTAAGAGCTTACCACCCAAAAAAAGCCCAGGTCCAGATGGGTTCACAGCTGAATTCTACCAGACATACAAAGAGGAGCTGGTACCATTTCTTCTGAAACTATTCCAAACAATACAAAAAGAGGCACTTCTTCCCAAATCATTTTATGAGACCAACATCATCCTGATTCCAAAACCCGGCAGAGACTCAACAAGAAAAGAAAACTTCAGGCCAATATCCATGATGAACATAGATGCAAAAATCTTCAATAAAATACTGACAAGCCGATTGCAACAGCACATCAAAAAGATTATCCACCATGATCAAGTAGGCTTCATCCCGGGGATGCAAGGCTGGTTCAACATACGCAAGTCTATAAACGTAATTCACCACATAAACAGAACCAAAGACAAAAACCACATGATTATCTCAATTGATGCAGAGAAGGCCTTTGACAAAATTCAACAGCCCTTTATGCTAAAAACCCTCAATAAGCTAGGTATCGATGGAACGTATCTCAATATAATAAAAGCTATTTATGACAAACCAACAGCCAATATCATACTGAATGGGCAAAAACTGGAAGCATTCCCCTTGAAATGTGGCACCAGACAAGGATGCCCTCTCTCACCACTGCTATTCAAAATAGTATTAGAAGTTCTAGCCACAGCAATCAGGCAAGAAAAAGAAATAAAGGGCATTCAAATAGGAAAGGAGGAAGTCAAATTGTCTCTATTTGCAGACGACATGATTGTATATCTAGAAGACCCCATCGTCTCAGCCCCAAACCTCCTGAAACTGATAAGCAAGTTTAGCAAAGTCTCACGATGCAAAATCAATGTGCAAAAATCACATGCATTCCTATACACCAATAACAGACTTAAAGAGAGCCAAATCAAGAACAAACTTCCATTCACAATTGCCACAAAGAGAATAAAATACCTAGGAATACAACTAACAAGGAACGTAAAGGACCTCTTCAAGGAGAACTACAAGCCACTGCTCAATGAAATAAGAGAGGACACAAACAGATGGAGAAACATTCCATGTTCATGGTTAGGAAGAATCAGTATCGTGAAAATGGCCATACTGCCCAAAGTAATTTACAGATTCAATGCTATCCCCATCAAGCTACCAATGACCTTCTTCGCAGAACTGGAAAAAACCACCTTAAACTTCATATGGAACCAAAAGAGAGCCCGCATAGCCAAGTCAATTCTAAGCAAAAAGAACAAAGCGGGGGGCATCACATTACCGGACTTCAAACTATACTACAAGGCTACAGTAATCAAAACAGCATGGTACTGGTACCAAAACAGAGATATAGACCAATGGAACAGAACAGAGGTCTTGGGTTTCATTTTCATTGGGTTCAAAGTATTTTCTAATTGCTATTCCCCCAGAGATGAAAATATAAGGCACAGAGCTGTATGAAATCTCTCAGGGAGAGAAAACAAGAGGATGGGGTTGAGAGCAGAGCATTGAGGAATGCTTACAAAGAGGGGCAAAAAGCAAAAGCCAACCTAGAGGAGATGAGAATCCGAGTTGTAGAGAGGCTGCACCTCCCCACCCTTCACAACAGAGTGTCTGGTGGAGAGCTGGGCACTCGCCCACCCAGGAACACTTCCATGCCTCCCTGGCAGCATGTGCGCTGGCCAAGAGGATGGCCTATGCTACCTCTAGGAAGTGTCCTTAGAGAGGGGCATGCTCCAATCTTTGCTTTTCCTGCTAGCTGGAAAGCAGATATGATGGCTGACACAGCCAGCTGGAGCCATGAGGAAGAAGTCTCCATGAGAAAGGCCTGGCCCTCATTAGTGGAAGATGACACAGACGGGTCTGAGTGCTGATGACAGGGGCGCTGCCATCTCAGCGGGGGCTACTCACATTTAGGAAAAGCAGAAATGCACTTCTATCCTATTTCAGTCACTGCAGCCATACTATTTCCAGATCTCTGTCATGAGCAGCCAGATCTGACCATAACTACCAAAAAGAAGCAGAAATGAGAAATTCTAGGAGCCAGAGGAGGTCGGCTGGAAGCTCAGAGATGCCTGCCTCAGACAGGGCAACCAGGGCTGATGTGGGAACTCTGAGACAACTGTGTGCACATGCATGTGTGCACGCATGGAGGGGCTCAAGAAACGTAGACAAAGCCTTCCATGATCTGCTGCAGGGCTAGCACTAAACCAAATCATCTCTAAATCCCACATCTCCCATTTGTAAGATGGAGAAACTCATGCTCAGAAGGTTTTGATTACTTTCCCAAGGTCAGAATCAACCACTGGTCGGCCTCAGCCTCCTGGCTGGACCCAACCATCTCATGCGGTTACAGTGACACACCATCAGAATGGATAGAGAGGGAATCAGCACCCACTACTTTCATGGCATCGATAAGTTTAAAAGGCTGTTTTGAAATATTACAGAAATTAAAAAATAAATAACATAAATATAAATCCTATAAAAATGATAGTAAAGCATTCCCCACTTCTTAGCTTAAAAATTCATTTTAATGTTAAATAGAATAAAATTTTAAAAACCTTTTAACTGGTCACAGAAAACTGTTAACACAGCAACAACAATCACAATCAATAATAAAAACAAGTTTACCTCAGCAGTCAGGAGTCTTTTTGGACATCTGTTAAGTGTGGCAAAAACATTCCTAAGTCCAGTCTCTAGTTGTGCCAGCAACAATATGGCACAGTCAGCAAACCTATGAAATTGAAGGGAAAATAGGTAAAACTCCATGTTTCAAAAATAAATATTAGGCCAGGTAGTGGTTCATGCCTGTAATCTCAGCATTTTAGGGAATTCAAAGCAGGAGGATCGCTTCAGGCCAGGAGTTCAAGACCAGCCAGGGACACTCCATCTCTACAAAAAATTTAGAAATTAGCAAGGTGTGGTGGCACATGCCTCCAGTCCTAGCTACCTAGGAGGCTGAGGCAGCAGGAATGCTTAAACCCAGGAGTTAAAGGCTGGAGTGAGCTATGACTGTGCTACTATACTCTAGCTTGAGTGACAGAGTAAAACTGTCTCTAAGTAAAAAAGCAAAAAACAAAAATAATATTGACACCAACATCACAGTAACTGCTGCAGTCTAGATATCAAAGGCAAAGAGAAGTGATAATACTTGCTAATATAAGAAACAAAAAGCAGCAGCTGGGCACAGTGGTTCATGTCTGTAGTCCTAGCACTTGGGGAGGCTGAGGCAGGTAGACCACATGAGGCTAAGAGTTTGAGAGCAGCCTGGACAATATGACGAAACCCCACCTCTACTAAAAATACAAAAATCAGCCAGGCGTGATGGTGCATGCCTGTAGTTCCAGCTACTTGGGAGGCTGAGGCACAAGAATCACTTAAACCTAGGAGGCAGAGGATGAAATGAACTGAGATCACACCATTGCACTCCAGCCTGGGTGAAACAGTGAGACTTTGTGTCAAAACAAAACAAAACAAAAACAAAAACAAAAACAAAACCACACACACACACACAAAACCAGTTTCATCTACTAATGATTTTAAAAACATTTTCCAATGTTTTCATGTTTGATGAACCATTTTTAGTAGCTTCTATAGAATAAAACGTCATCAGAGAACTTTCTAAATCATTTCATTGCTTCTAAAAAATACTGAGGCTGGGTGCAGTGGCTCTTTCCTGTAATCCCAGCACTTTGGGAGGCTGAGGCAGGAGGATCACTTGAGCCCAGGAGTTCAAGATCAGCCTGGGAAATGGAATAAGACCTCATCTCTAGAAAAAGTACAAAATTAGCCAGGCATGGTAATACACACTTATAGTCCTAGCTACTCAGGAGGCTGAGGTGGGAGGACTGCATGAGCCCAGGAGCTCAAGCCTACAGTGAGGCGAGATGGTTCCGTTGCACTTCAGCCTGGGGGACAGAGTGAGATCTAGTCTTAAAAAGAAAAAACAAAAATGCAAACACCAGGATTTCAGTGGATTCTCAAAGTATAAAAATGAATGAATAGGATAATATCCTTTAAAGAACTAAAGACCAGCTTACTAGACCTTCTGGTGGCTACCATACATGTGTTTGCCCCTGAGGAAATAGAAAAAGAATGTCAGGAAAAAGCTGGTTTGTCTTTGTTTCATGATTCTGGACATGTTTCACTCATTCTAAGAATTCCAGAAAATATTAAAAAGTGCATCCCAAAAAATAATTATATCAACTGGCAAAAGGCTGACACACAATGTTTAAGATATAATCACAGGCTGTCCTTTAAGTGACTCTATGAAGGTGTTTTATTTTCAGGTCTGCTAAAGTCAGTCTAGCTTCTCTTCACTTCTACTCTAACAGCAAAAAGCATCAAAAGTAAAGGGCATCAAGAAAGACTGACCTCCAACCACTGAAAACCACCATGCTATGCACCCTTCAGTTACCTTTGTGACCTGAACTTGATCAGTGCAACTTCCCAATATGGTAACATGATTTTTAATATAAAAGCAGATTTTGTCATCACTTCTTCTAATACTGAAAGCACCTCATAAGTAACATCTGCAAAATTAACAAACAGTTTTAAACACAATCATACGAATCAAATGAAAAATGATGGGAACATGCTGAGGGAGTGACGCCAATGAGTCAATCACTTTAGGTAGTTGAACTGTAGCCACTGCTGCAGGGGACTCATCAAAGAGCAGGGTCGCCCTGACCAAGAGCCCGAGGTGCAGATGACCCTCAGAAAGGAGGGCATGTACATCTCTTCAGTGATTCAGGCAACAGCTCAGGGTGGACCAACTGAGTACAATGACCAAGAGAAGTAAAATATATTTTCAGAAGGTATAAAAGACCCTTGATACTACAAGTACTTCTGGCATAATGATCATGAGTACAAAGATATCAGAGGTGAAAATATACATCCTGCCATAGCCTGAGGCCACAATTGTGCATAGCGCATCTGAGGAAGAAAGAGCTGGACTCACACAGCCGCAACTCTATGAACCCCACAACCACCCCGGGACATGGCGGGAGGAGACAGGGCTTTGGGTAGCAAAATGCAGGAGGTTCTTCAAGCGACTCTGAAAGCTATCTGACCACTGAAGAATAACTACTTTACCCCACCTCGAGTACACACCTCAATGCTATTTACTGACTTTGCAAATATCTATGCAAAACTACATTAAGGAAAAAATGTAAAATGTAGTACTTACCAGGAAAAATAACCAAATCCTCTAGGTTTTTAAGAGTTATGAAAGAGCGATGTGTCAATGTAAGTTTAGTGTTTTGAAGGTAACTCTTCAGTAACTGACCCAATCCTACTGTCAACAGTATCATCATTGAACAGTATCTAGGGGAAATACCATAGATCTGTTACAAAAATGTACTCAGTCATACCTATAAAAAGCTTCACTGTGAAAAATACAAATTTAAAATTAAGAAAGCAAAGCACCAATGAATTTCAAGGAACTGGCTGAGCATGTGGCTCATGCCTGTAATCCCAGCACTTTGGGAGGCTGGGGCAGGCAGATCACTTGAGCTCAGGAGTCTGAGACCAGTCTGGACAATAAGGTGAAACCCTATCTCCACAAAAAATACAAAAAAGTTAGGTGGGAATAGTGGCACGTGCCTGTACTTCCAGCTACTCAGGGGGCTGAGGCGGGTGGATTGCTTAAGCCTGGGAGGAAGAGGTTGCAATGAGCTGAGAACACAGCACCGCACTCCAGCCTAGGTGACAGAGCAAAATTCTATCTCAAAAAAAAAAAAAAAAAAAAAAAAATGCACACAATTCTATAGAATTAAGTTGTGCAATGGTTGTGAGGCACAATAACACCAGAGAAACTCTGATGAAGACCCTGACGAAACCTCAGGGTCTTCCACCCACCTGAGACGTGAATGGCATAACATCCTTCTGGTGCCACCTCTGAATTGCCTTTGGGATGCAAGTCACTGAAACCATAACCCTATTATCACTCTAGTGACTACATCAGTAATATTCAATTTTATCTTCAAAATCCTCTCTCAAAACTCACTCATCTTTCACAAAATACATATTTCCTTCTTGCGAAATTCAAAACTTAAAAGACTCCTTGATAGATTCAAAACAGGAAGAAAATTTCTTCACTTGCAACTTACTTTGGAGGAATTTCTTCAGGTGATGCAAACCCATGCCATAAGATATTACGCAGGTTGAGACCACATGGAGAGCCAACGAAGACTTTTAGCACATTCATCTAATCCAGTTAAGGATAGTAAATCATGACAGAGTTAATTATTATTGAATAAAACAATATAATATGAAGATAATGTTTGTGTTCTTCTTTTTAACTGACAAAGCCAACAGTTTAGGCTAGGAAGTAGCAGTAATAATAATAAAACCAACATTTATTGACTGCTTAATATGTGCCAGACACATTTTATATGTATTCATCAACTCATCCTAAGAACAACCTATGAAGAAGGTACTACCATCATCCCCAGCATGCAGGTGAAAAAAATACAAGCATGGAAAGGTGAAATCGAAGTCTCGAAGGTGACAAAATCAGTATGGGGGATAAGATCTGACCCAGGCTATCCTGCGTTAATAAAGTTCTTCAAATGCGCCTAATATCTAAATAAAATGCAAGAAGATAATGATATAAGCAGAAAGTTATTGTTGTATTAAGCAGCATGCAGCTGTGTGGTTCAACAGAGACAGTAGGGCAAATGACAGAGCAGCATGGCTCCAGGCTTGAGCCTCCACCTCCCAGCTGTCTGACTTGAAACCCATCACTGACCCACTCCACCATCTAGAGTGAGGAAAACACAAAACCAGGGGTCCTACTTAATGGACTGCAATCATGCCATTCCCAGAGAACTGCTTTGGGTTTGAGGCACCATACTTAGAAGAAACTCAGAAAAAAATGGAAGATGCTCAAAGACTAAAAGAACTTAAAGCCATGTCATAGAAGGAAGAATGGTTGAGCCTCCAGAAGACTCGAGAAAGACGTGAACACTGTCTTCATGCATGTGAAGATGCTGCTGAGAAAGGAATATGGATGCATTCTGAACTTCCCTCAGCAAGGAGACCCAAAACCAGCAAGTGGAAATGATCAAGAGCAGGTTCTACTCAAAGTAGGAACATTTAACAAGTAGTTCTTCTATGCAACTTCAGGAGATCTTTTTGCTCTACCATTAATTTGTGAAATACTCATGGTTCACACCATCTGGTCAATCAGATGTATAAATGACAGTGGCCAGGTAAAAGTATCTGGTAGCTGAAGTGGGCAGAAGGCCAATCACATACAGGCAAATACCAAAGAACAAATCAAAGAAACAAAATGTGTTTAAGAATTCAGTGTTAACAAGAGGTTTGCACTTTTTATATTCACTCCATGCTTTCCACAAAAGAAAATGATCTTTAAGCTGACAAGAAGTAAAGATCCACAGTAAAGAATGCAAAAGCTCCACTGAAGACAAATTTCTTTACTCCAAAAATCATCTAGTGGCTCCCTGACTTGGCATGCACAGCTTCCACACAAGGCTCTCCTGGGTTTCTTCATCTTGACCCTGCCTCACTCAGTTGCCTAAAGGTTATTCATTAGTCTTAAGTCTCTTGATCATGTGCCCATTAGGAGATTTTAATATAGTATGTAACTATATTATTTTTTAATACCTGATTTTTTTTCCACTCTAAGTTTAAATAGTTGCAAAAAGCATAATTTCACGTTAAAGATTTCAAATAAAACTGTATTATCACTCATTTAAAGAGTTAAAGTTGTATTCTGGATTTGGTATTATAGTTATTAATATGTAATTGATTGAGGCAACATGCTTCACATTGGCCCTGTGGTGCCCCAGAGATATTCACACCCAGGATAGGAAAGCTTTCTACGTGCTGGAGGAGGCGTGATTTTGAAAGGGAAGGTGAATAAGCTTGAATCACTGATACATTTTTTTCCTAAAGCATCATCAGTTTGGGAAGAAAAAAAGCACAGCATATGTGAATTGCTGTTTTGCACTGACTTCATTATATGGTTTGGCTGTATCCCCACCCAAGTCTCAACTTGAATTGTATCTTCCAAAATCCTCCCATGTTGTGGGAGGGACCCAGGGGAAGTAGTTGAATCATAGGGGCTGGTCTTTCCTGTGCTATTCTCAGAATAGTGAATAAGTCTCATGAGATCTGATGGGTTTATCAGCGGTTTCCACTTTTGCTTCTTCCTCTTTTGCTTCTTGCTGCCGCCATGAAAGAAGTGCCTTTCTCCTTCTGCCATGATTCTGAGGCCTCCCAAGTCATGTGGAACTGTAAAGCCAATTAAACCTCTTTCTCTTCCCAGACTCAGGTATGTCTTTATCAGCAGCATGAAAACAGATATACTCCACGGGTTTAGATGAGCAAGCTTACCACAGACTGCCCAAAGATTTGAGCAAGCTCTTCAGATGCAAGTAGATCTCTTAAAAGAAAGGGACATTCCTTCCCAATCAGTAAAAATACCTAAAATTCAAACAAAAATTGTGTAACAATTGCATTATGAGCCAATAAACATTAAAAACATTATCCATGAAGCAACTGTTTATACAAATGAGGGGAGAAAAATACTTAGACACCAATCCTTTGATTTCATAATCATTCAAAAGTCAAATATTAAAAATTTGTACCAAATGATTTTATATTAAAGGAAAATAAGAAATCTGAGGGCAACTGTAAAAGAGTTTAATGTTCATTCAGACAATTTAATGGTCCAATAATGAAAGAGATCTCACACTTACATCACCCAAGGCTCGTTCTAGACATGATGTCAGTTTCATTAAGCTAAGAGAAATAGCAGGAGATTGTAGACTTTTCAAGGCTTCAAATATTTCAGGAAATAACTGTTTAGAATAAAACACATATCAGGATGTGCAATCTAAAACTATTCCTCAAAGTAACAATATTATTTATTGAAATTCAAACCTCTAAAGATTTCAACTGTCATATTTTAGTTATTTTCAGGGGATAAGTAAGCATTTTCTGTATAATTATATTGCCTAAAGAATCCATAAAAATATTTTAATAGCTAAAGAATTCCTTGAAAGTTACTTAAATGTTTATTGAAAGCAACAAATCTGGTATAATTTAAGTGGAAAACTCAAGCATTTTGACCTCATCTTTTTCTCCTTTTGATTTGGCTGAGTCCTCAAACAGATACACACAAGGCTGCTCATCCTGTCACTTGAAAATGCTAGTACAAGGGGGATGCGATGATTCCTTCACTCCAAATTCAAAGCAGAATTAGACTTGTTATAGCTACTGCTTTACTGTGGTCATTTAGTGTGCCAAAAACTGACCACAAGAACATACCAAAACAAAATTTTGGGTTGGGCCCCAAATTACCCATACTCCCTTCAATTCCTCATAACAAACCAGGTATCCCAGCTCTAGTCTCCAGGACCCACCGTCTTAGATGTCTTAGAACACCTCAATACCTCTTCACAGGGCCTCTTATTCTGAAGTGGTCAATTTTTCTTCTGTCCCTGGATAAGCACCAAGTGCCAAGTGTTAGCTCTCCAACCCTAATCCTGTGATAATGAATTCCTGTGTTCCAAGGGATGTTTCTCAGCTCAGGCTTTGGAGACCCTACATAATAGCCAGGGTTCTCTTGCAACCCTCAACAGTTCTTCACAGTTGGAGGGCGTGGGGATGAAGGAGGCCCCTTTAAAATTGGCAAATAATAAGTCCTCTAAGTAGTATTTGCACAGTTTTTTATTTCTAAAGGTTGTTCAAAAACCAAACCTGTGGAAAACTTGTCCACTGGAACCATGGTGCATACTGAATTTCAAACTGCCCCTTGGTCTGAGATAAGAAATGTGAATGGACAGCTTCACACACAGGGCCCAGCAGCCTCACACTTCCCCAGTAATCCAGACCCTGGTCTTAAAGGATAAGAAAACAAATTTTAGCACCATAGCTTCATATCATGTGATATAAAACATCTACATCATCAAAGAAGAAAATGCTTTAATTATAAAACTTCCACAAAATCAACAATCAGTTTACCATTGAACACAGGATAAACTTTTTATAGGAAATTTATTTATAGGAAATAAATCATATAATGCTTATCAGATTATAAAAGAAAAATATACTGTCAGTAGAGAATTTGGAAAATACAAAAAGTTTCAAACAAGAAAAAAATATTTTTGTCAATGTCTTTACCTGTACATAAATATACGGGAAACTAGGCTCACATTGTATACACAATTTTGTAACCTGATGTTTTTAAAGTTAAACCAGGCTCACTCTCTATATACAATTTTGTAAACTGATTTTTTTTAAGTTAACATTATTAGACTGACATTTCTTATGACAATGAATTATTTTAAAACATATTTATAATACAAAGTTTTTGTTGCTTTAATTTTTTTATATGAAGCTTCTGTTGTTTTAGTTTTTTTTTTTTTTTTTTCTATAAGTTAGGGATTAACCATCCACTTGGTTAATGATCAATAAATAGCAAAGGGTGGCCAAGCACGGTGACTCACGCCTGTAATTCCAGCACTTTGGGAGGCCGAGGCAGGCAGATCACCTGAGGTCAGGAGTTCGAGACCAGCCTGGCCAACAGAGTGAAACTCCAACTGTACTAAAAATGCTGGGTGTGGTGGCAGGCCTGTAATCCTAGTTCCTCAGGAGGCTGAGGCAGGAAAATGGCTTGAACTTGGGATGCAGAGGTTGTAGTGAGCCAGGATCACACCATTACACTGCAGCCTGGGGGACAAGAGCAAGACTTCGTCTCAAATGAATGAATGAATGAATGAATGAATGAATGAAATAGCAAAGGGTAAATACAAATACATGCCCTTCCTGGTTTTTTTCCCACTTAGCTCAGAGATTTCTGTATCAGAAGAGTCTCCTCATTCTTTTCTACCACTGCATAATATTCCATTATATGCATTTATCATAATTTACTGAACCAAACCCCTATTGCTTGATGTTTGGCTATGTTATTTATTAAAGGATAACCTTGCACAAACCCACTTTCATATCTGTATCTGTCTTAAAGATTCCTGAAAATGGACTGCTAGGCCAGAGTATGTTCATTTGTAATTTTTATAACTATTATTAAATTTCCCCACCCATATTTCTAAAGTGTGCAAGAATGCCTAGAAGACATTTAAAATAACTGTATAATCTATTACTGGTCATTTTATACCCTTAATTCATATGACTCCTATAGAAAATCATCTCAAGGCCCTGAGATCTGTATCATCAACAGCCCACCAGCTCCTCTCTTCCTCCTGACACCTCTTCTGTAGAGGTGGTTTTCTTAGCCTAGCTTTCCATGAATTTTTCCATGCTTCTCTGGCCTCGTCTCCTCTCTTTTCACATTAATTCCTTTTCTCCTTGCAGTCAGGCCTATAACATTCTCTAATAAAAGGAAGCAGTGGTCAGAAAGGGGAATTTTACAGGTCAGGACATTTTCAACAGAACAGTTACAAAAGTTTGGAGTACAAAGACAGCACAAACCTGACTCTGTGTAGCTCACACAGTCTGTGATTGTTTTCCAGCATACCTCACCATTCTGAGTTACAATGTTATTGATGTCACAATTTTCTCTGAGTTCAAACCCAAGATTACAAATTATATCATATACCGGGGGAGAAAGACATGTGGTAATAGGGGACCCTATTAATACCTAAAAAAAAAACAAAGGCACTGATTAACAGAAAGAAAAGCAGAGTATTATATATTTAAGTCACAAGAAAACTCTCTTAAGAACTGAATGAACTCAGGTGTAGTTACTATTAACATGCTTTCTGGATATCATGAGAGCTGTATTATTACAACATTATGATTAAATATTAAAGATATGTACATAAATGCTCTCAAATATGAGAAAGGTTTAAAGAGTTAAAATGATCAATCATAATATTTGCAGACTGCTCTATGCGGTAGCCACTCCATTCCTTTTCTTAAACTTGCTTTCACTTTACTTTTAAAAACAAAACAAAACAAAAAACAAAAAAAGATACGAGTTCACGGAAGCTCAGTGTGTTTTATGAACAGGGCATTATTCCTCTGAGCATTCCTTCACTATCCCAGAGTTATCAAAATAAGCAATTTTTTAAATGGGGAATGGAAAAGCAGACATCAAGGCATATGAAAAAGAAGCAAAAAAAAAAAAAAAAAAAAAAGAAAAAGAAACCCGAATCCCTCTGACTCCCTAAACGGTGCTGAAGAAAACCACAACGTCATCACAAAACACACCTCTTTGATATAAAAAAAAAATCTGAGATGAAGACAAGAGGCAGCAAATGAAGGAAAAGTTCTCTCTATCCTCCCCCTCTTCCGCCCAAAGACAGGATATAAATTCTTTACTGGAGGTAACTTTAGACTCTTAACAGACCAGAGAAGGCACCAGAGGAATCTACAGACAATTCTTACTCCTTTAGTTTCCAAACATGTATCTACCTTCCCAGTTTCCTGCCCTTTGAAGCCTAAAACTGTTTTACTGTGTCATTTCTCTGCAAATCTATAGTTCTTTGTTGAAGATGGTATACAAACGTAGTTCTAAGCCACCATTTCAAGTTATCTTTCATTGAGGTTTAACCCTTGTGATGTGCACTCTGTGCATTAATAAACTTTTTTCTTGTTAAGTTTTCTTTTGCTAAAGGTGTCACTCCGAACTAAGATGGGCAGAGGTAAAGTTTAGCCTCCTCTGCCATGTAAAAATTAGCAAGCCGTACTGGTTTTCCAAAATTTTCGGAGAACTAAATTAAATCAAAATCCTCACAATTATCCCACATGACACTAACACCATCGTATAAACCTGCAAAGAAGTCAAATTCAGGATCTAAAGCTGAACCGAGGCTCTTTTATTTTCGCGTTTCGAGTTAAGGGGTGACTGTTTTGTGACAGTCACCAATAACTCTGGGCAGCCTCCTAACCTGGAAACTGATCAGTTTCAGTTCCCTTGTCCTGCTCAATATCAATTACCCTGTTTGCTCTTCCAGTTCCCCAGATGTTGCACTTTCCCACACTCAGCCCTGGTTTTCTAACAATCCTAGCAGGCCCTAACAGTTAAGGCATCACTAAAGAAATGTGCATTAACTATTTGTTGATTGTCTGTGGCGACTGTTGCCTGTAATTAGGTCCTATGGGGCGAGAACTGTGAAGACCACACTGGGCTGGTGCTTTGGGGCTAGACTTAAATTTGAATCATTCCTCGGCCTGTGACTACCTCTTGCCTTGGAAAAGTTACTTAACATATCCGAGTCTCAGCACTAACTGAAATAAAACGGTGCCAGACTGCATCTTATATGGCTGCAGTAATGAGATAATACAGGAAAAGCGTCTAGCACATGGTACTCAAAAATGGTAGTTATCATTATCATTATTTTGGAGATGGGGTCTCGCTGTCACCCAGACAGGGGTGCAGTGGCGCGATCTCAGCTCATTGCAGTCTCCATCTCCCGGGCTAAAGTGATCCTTCTCCCTCAGCCTCCCGAGATGCTGGGGCCACAGACGCCACCACGCCCGGCTCCGCTGTTGTTACTGCTGATGATAGGTGTTTGATATTTAATTGCCTCAGGGAAGAAAAAAAATTATTATGAGGCAACTACATACAACCAGATCTCCTGACACGAGGTGGGTGAGGCAGTCGTGACAAGTTTTATACTGTTACTCAAACGGTCTAAAAGCGATGAACACAAATTTACTGTCAGGCAGTGGCTAGGAAACTGCGCTTCCAGGAACGAGGCCACGGTCAGGTGAGAGACCGGCCTGCGGCCTTCGGCCCCCGTGCCACCGCGCACAGCTCTCCCAGACAGTCCGCCGCGTTTCAGCTCAGGGCCAGGGGGCAGCAGACACACCGAGCCTGGCACAGGGAGGCCGATAGGGCCTGCCCGGCGTCTAGCAGGGCTGAGAGCCGCTACCGCCGCACGGGCCGGGGCCGCGACGTTCCAGCGCGGGGACCGCCAGCCACCGCAGGCGCGTGCTCGCCCACCCACTCCAGGTCGCCGAGCACCACGCAGCCTGCGGTTGACTCCCTGCCCAGACCCGGGGCTACCTGGCCCGTCACCCGCCCTACCTCCATAACTTCCGGCACCGCGCTGAGGCGCGCATGAATGACGCAGGCGCCTGCCCGCAGCGTCTCCAGGCGTCTTGGCGCCCCGGCGGGCACTTCCGGCCGCCAGAAGCGCAGTGCTAGACTCCCGGTCTCGCGGGAGTGGGTGGGGCGTTTGACCGCCTGCGGAGAAGGGGAGGCGGTGGGCGTCTGAGAGAACAGAGCAAGATGGAGAAGCGAGCCCGAGGCGTGAAGCCGAGCGTCAACCAGACCTTGAACCAGACCCCTCAGCAGGCGCCGCTGGCCCCTAGGAAAGAAAGAAGGCCTAGCATGTTCGAGAAGGAGGCAGTGAGTGCGGACACAGCAAGGGGCCCGAGACGGCCTTGTCCGACCCTGTAATTGAAATCGCTCCTCAGTGGGCCCCGCTCCTGACACCACTCCCAGAGCCAAGGAGGCAGCATTTCCCTTTTCTGTTTCTTTTTTCTCCAGATGCAAAATTGAAGACCGAGACTGAGCTGGGCAGTCCCCTTTGGACTTTAGTGCTCAGGTTTTCTTGGTTTTTTAATTAGGGCCGTAGAACACTACATAAATCGATTGGATGGGTGGTTACAAGATCACCTGCAGTCCTTTTCAGATTTACTGAGCTTGCGGATTTCCTGAGACTACTCTGAGCATCATTGCTTTACTAAAAGACATTATGTTAGTGTATCAAGTGCCATCCTAAGCAGTTTTGCTAGCGAAAAATGAGTGTATGCTGTATTTAAAAAAAAATGGATAAACTAGGCAGAATAGTGACATGTTTGGGGTCTTTAAAAACATAAGCAGTCTGTATATTTGAAGAATATACAGGAGAAAAAAACAAGTTGAACGTATTCTGTCCAAAACTTATTGTTTGGTATTGATGGAAAGGGTCATTGTTCAGTTTTATTGGTGGTATAACACAGGCATTTCTATATGATTATGCTTTGAAAACCGTTAATGTGCTCAAGACTCCATGTTTTGTTGATACTTTAACAGAAAACTAGTTTGCCCAAAAATGCAAACCTGTAATGATAGAGCTGGGACCAGAACTTGTATCCTGGTGCTCAGTCCACTTGGCCTGTGTTGATTTCTTTTTATGCTTACTTCATGGACCTTTAATAGGATGAAAACAGAGTTAACAAGCAAAACAATTTTTGAAGACCCTAAAACAGTTCAAGAATACTCAAATAAAAAGAGACTTCTCAAAATAACTAAGAGCGAAATTTCAGGTTCTAATAATGTTTCCTTGGTGTCTAAATTTTAGAGAGGAATGAATGAACTAAAGGACGAAAAGGAAACAGGCCAAGTTTACACAGCTAAGAAAAAGAGCAGGGCAGGGCAGGAAACCTAAATCAGCTGGACTTGAAACTTCACACTCCCAAACACTGTGCTGTATCGCTTGGCAAAAAGTCTGAGTAACAGGTCACCAACAGTAAAGAAAAATTTCTATATGTTGAGGCAGACAAGGGTGACTTTTATAAACTGCCTATTTGAGGTCTGAAGTCTTTAAAATTTAGTGAGCCTGAACTCAAAATGAGGAGACACATAGGTGCACTTGGTATATAGGTTAAAATCTGGGAGTGAGGGGACATGGACCAAAGTAGTTATTGCTTATTTGATATGGATGTGATCAATTATAGCTATCTTTAAAGTTGAGTCTTTTAGAGGTGAGAAATTTGAATAGAACAATAATTGGGAAGAAATTGAGAAAGGACTCTACAAAAACTCACTAAATGTACCTGAGGAAACTGTGCACTTAGTCATTTCTAATTTAAGGTAGCTTTTAATTTTCCTATTTCTGAGCATGGAAAAATTAAGACATACCGTTTAACCAACGACTGTCTCTTGATTTTTATCTGTTTTGCCTCCATTTCCTTTTTTTCTAGTGGTAGCACGTCGTCGGTAACTTTTAGGGAATTAACTCATCTGCAATTGTATAGAGCTTTGATGAGATTGTCAGCTACTTTCCTTGACTTTGGAATGAGGATGAAACCCAAACTAAGCTAATTAGATGAATTCTTTGAAATAATGCAAAGAAAATGATTGAGGTTGAAGATGAGAAGCTAAAGTGCTCCATGTGTCTTTCTGAATCTGGTTCATTGACCTTCTCTGCTGTTATGTAAACTATATCTTTCCAATAAATTACGCTTTTGTATAACAAGAAAGGAGTTCCTGTTGTTGTGATCAAAGGTCACAAAATGCGAAGTAGATTACTAAAAATGGAAAACTTTGATTGTTCTCTCTTGTGCACGTGCATTTGAAAATCTTAAACACAGCTGGGTGCAGTGGCTCACACCTGTAATCCCACCACTTTGGGAGGCCAGGGTGGGCCGAACACCTGAGGTCAGGAGTTCAAAACTAGCCTGGCCAACATGGCAAAACCTCGTCTCTACTAAAAATACAAAAGTTAGCTGAGTGCGGTGGTGGGCACCTGTAATCCCAGCTACTCAGGGAGGCTGAGGCACGAGAATCCCTTGAACCTGGGAAGAGGAAGTTGCAGTGAGCCGAGATTGTGTCACTGCATTCCACCTGGATGACAGAGTGAGACTCCATCTCAGTAAAGAAAAAGGAAAAAAATCTTAAACACTAGCTTGTGGCATTTAGAAATAAAAGTAATATGCCCAAGCTCATTTTATTTTAGGACCATGTGTAGGCTTAATATGAGGAAATGCTACATCAGTAGAAACTCAAGTATTATTAGATGCCAAAAAGTTGATCATATTTAAAGCCTATTCCCAATTTTAAAAAAGATTATAAAGATTCTTAATAAAAAGAATAAAATACTCTTCATCTCAGAAGCACTAATGGTTATTTTCAGGCCACACATGAATGCCCCATTTCCTTGAGAATCATTGCAGTTGAGAGCCACTGTTAATGATACTATGTAGTTGTATCCCTTGAGTATATTGTAGATGAAAGGAAGGTCCCAATCACTGCCCTAGAAAAGCATTCTCTTAATAAACAAGAACAAAATGATTTTGTTTTTAAGAGGTTTAGGGAGCTAATAATGCTGCTTCTGGAAATAAGAGGCACAGAAACCTGACAGATGATCACAGCAGGAGATTTATTTCTGGTGAGCGACTTTTACTTGCAGCCAATATGGAGTAATTCTTACCAGAAACTACTTAACACACAAAAATATATGGAGCAATTGTTTCCATTGATTGGGTGTCAGGCAGGACAAGAAAGTAATTTCTGAGAGATGAGAAACAGGTAAGGTGAGCCCCCATATTGACCCCACTTTAATTGCCTGGTGAGAGTTTCCAGGCTACAACACAAGGAAAGGCCTCCTTTAGTTCAAAAGGAGTTGGGAGCCTGGGAAGCCAAGATAGCATGAGACTGGAGAGCAGAGTATTCGGACAGGGCTGCACAAACCACCCCAAAGATCTACAGAGGGTTTCCCTGAGTATTCTGCTCAGTGCAGCAGTGCATCTGGTAAGGAAAGTTCTCACTAGAGATGGAGAGTGGAAGTAGAGCAAAATCACCGAAAAGGAACAGAAAAAAAATCCTTGGACGTGTTCCCACCAGAAAAAGTGGAAAACCATGAAAAATATAGAGCTTTGGTTAGAGTGCTATGAAGTATTTTGCCTCATTAGTGGGAAAAAAATAAGAGAATGATTTCTCTGATCTGGCCTATCAAGGCTGAGAAGCAAGACTCAAGAGGATTAAACTGTTTCCAGATGTCTTTGTTTTAGAAGAAAGCTCAAGAGTTTTAGGAATACAAAAACATCCAGCCTATAAGAAGGTAAAATTTCACACTGTCTCGTCTCTAAATATTAACAGACCTGCAGAGAAGCAGGAAAATGAAATTCAAAATCGAAGAAACAGTAAAAACAGCCCAGGAATTACAGAAAAAATAGTATAAACAGACATTAGTTATGAGAGTTTTTAGTTTTCATCAAATCAAATCATACATTATGAAATTATTACATTATATTTAAGAGTGTAGAGAAAGATTTAGCATGTTAAATGTAAATCAAACTTCTGTAGATGAAAAATACTATGTCAGGGATGAAAATACACTAAGTGGTATTAACAGCAGATTCAACAGTGCAGAAGAAAGGACAGTTAGAGACATAGAAACTGGGGGAGGGTGCTGGAAAAATATTACAAGATGTCAACGAGCTTTGACAGAACTTAAAGTAGCCTAATGATAATTTGAGTCCCCAAATGAGGTGAGAGAGGACAGACAAAAAGTATGTGAAGAAATTACTTTGAAGAAAGGGATGAGAAATTTTCAAATTTGATGAAAACTACAAACCCACAAATCGAAGAACCTCAGTGAAATCCAAGCACAAGACACATGAAGAAAATTATGACAGGACATACAATAAAAAAATTGCTTGAAACCAATGATTTAAAAATTTAAAGGCAACTAGAACAAAGCAAGATTATGTACATAGAAACAGACAAAATGACAGTGTACTTCTCAGAAACAATGAAAGATAGAAGACATTGAAGCATCATCTTTAAGGACTGAAAGAAAATAACTATCAACGTAGAATTCTATAATCAGCTAAAATATCATTCAAAAAACAAATACTATAAGACTTTCAGCTTCTTGTTCTACATGTGAGGGGCTTAAAGTTTCTACTATGTCCTAACAAGTAAAAAGCTGAACAAACTGAAAAAATTAACTCTTCTTAGATCCATAAGAGAAGTGAAGTCACAGGACAAACTGCTGCCCCCAAAAGTAGAGTAACAAGCAGCAATTTGCTCTGCGCTTGTATGACTTAAGCCTTAGCCATCTTGTATGACTTAAGCAAGTAGGAGAAAAACAAGCAGAAAACTCAGAAGTATCAGTGAAGTTACAGTCCAGAAGCACAGGTTCACTAAAAGACCTAGTCATAGGATTATAGATTGCTTCCTCTCCGCTAACACCTTACCAGCACATTACTAGAGGCCTTATTACAGCAGTTTCTTTACCCAGTGAAACATGTTTGGCTATCATGAAGAAAATTAGGCATACTAAAAAACAATAACAAAGACACAAAGTAAGCATCAGAACCAGACATAGCAGGGATGTTGGAATTATCAGACAGGATTTAAGATAACTATAATTAATATGTTAAAGGGCTGTAGTTGATAAAATAGCATGCAAAAACAGATGAGCAATGTAAGCACAGAAATGGAAATCCTAAGAAACAGAAAGAAATGCTAGACACCAAAAACACTGTAACAAAAGAAGAAATCTCAAAAGAAATTTAAAAAATATTTTGAGCTAAGTAAAAATGAAAACATATCAAAATTTGTAGAATGCAGCAAAAACAGGGCTTGGAGGAAATGTATAGTATTAAATGTATGCACATATTAGAAAAGAAAGAGCTAAAATAATTTAAGGTTCTACTTTAAGAAACTAGAAAAAGAAGAACAAATTAAATCCAAAGTATGCAGAAGAAAAAAAATAATAAAAATTATAGCCGAAATTGATGAAATTGAAATCAGATACCGACAAAACCAAAACCTTTTCCTTTGAAAAGATCAATAAAATCTATAAGCCTCTAGCCAGGTTAAGAAAGAGAGGACACAAATTGCTAATAGCAGAAATGCAAGTCAGGATGTTGCTGGAAATTTTATGAACACCAAAAATACAATAAAATAATACTATGAACAATTCTGTGCCCAGAAATTTGGTACTGTAGATGAAATGGATCAATTTCTTGAAAGATGCAATCTCCCAAAACTTATACAAAAAGAAATAGATAATCTGAATAAGCCTATATCTGTTTTTAAAAATTGAATCAATAACAACCTTCCAAAGCAGAAATCACCAGGGTCAGGTGATTTCCTTGGTGAATTCTACCAAGCATTTAAGGAAAGATATGTATCAATTATCTGCAATCTCTTTCAGAAGATAAAAGCAGAGAGAATACAGTCTAACTCATTTTATGAAGTCAGCATTACCCTAATAGCAAAGGCAGACGAAGACACCATAAGAAAAGCAAACTACAGACCTGTGTCATGTGTTAACACTGATGCAAAAATTCTCAATAAAATACTAGCAAACAAGTCAGCATTTTACATAAAGGATTTGACACCAAGATCAAGTGAAATTTGTCCCTGGAATGCAAGGATGGTTCAACAGATGAAAACTGATCAAGGTAGTACACCACCTTAGCTAAATGAAGAAATAAACCACATGATCAATCTCAATTGATGAAGAAAAAGCATATGTCAAATTCAACACTTTTTTATTATAAAAACATCCAACAAACTAGTAATAGGAGGAAACTTCTTCAACATAGTAAAAGCTCTGTATGAAAACTGCACAGCAAACATCATACTCGATGGGGAAAGACTGAAAGCTTTTCCTGTAATATTAGTAACAAAGCAAGGATGTCCACTTTTGCCACTTCTTTTCAACATAGAACTGGAAATTCTAGCCAAGTAATTAGGCAAGAAAAGGAAATTCCTGGCTATTAACAAAATGAGGCTCACTGTTTTAAGAGGCTAGAGCATTTATCTGGGACATATTAGGTACTAAGTAAATATTTCATTAATGCATATTGGATGTCACAGAATGGATGTTTCATGTCAAAAGCATGAACTGAGTATATGTAGGATCAATGCACTTTTGGTGTTTTTTCAGCTTAAGACTTATGAATGTGCTACCTAAATAATTTTATTATTTAAAGATAAGTAAATAAAGTAAAATACAATTTTAGGACAATGAAGGATAATATTTTCTTAATCTCAGGGTAGGGAGGAAGAAAGGTTTTCCCTGTATCTTCATCCCATAGCCACTCAGTTGCCCTCCTTGAAGGCCACTCTTGTTTCTAGTTCCTTTGAATCACCCATGGTCTTTTGCCAAATTGATAGCCAGGAGTGAATCTAGGATTTAGTAACCACATTATTGTAGAAATCTGTTTAACAGATTTCCAGTATTTCCAAGCTTTGTGTGAGCCTTGTCCGCTGTACAGTGTTCTTTAATCTAAAATCTAATTTTACAGTTTAAAAATTAATCTTTTCTCCCCTTCTCTCTTCCCCTCTTTTTCCTTCAGTATGCACAGATTTTAAGAGAAAGACTGAGAGAGTCAATTCATGATGTTCAGTATGTGGAGCCTCCTTTTGATGACTCAATTGCTGATATAGGTAAAGAATGGAAGAGTGCCCTGGCAAAATTAAAGTTTGCTAATTCATACAGAATGGAGCCATTGAAGAAATTCCAAGCTCATTCAGTAGAAACTAAAGTCCAGCAGATACTAACAGTAGGTTGATAAATATATATGATAGCAGTATTGTATGAGAGTTATATATATAATCTTTCTCTGGAGATTTCTTCATACATATACATATTCATATATATATGTGTGTGTGTGTGTGTGTGTATCACACACACACATGCACACACACACACACACACACACACACACACACACACGGAGACATTTATTCCAAGAATTGGCTCATGCAATTGTCATTAGAACGAGAAGCATTGTGTCATTGGTGCAGGCACAACAAATCAGTTAATCAAAGATGTGTAGTCTGCTTGCTAGGTGTCCAGTTCTGCTCCTGGTTTGTAAGAATGTATAATGCTTTATAGCCCACTAGCCATGTCCATTTCCTTCAAGCTATACATTAATTTATTAATAAACATTGTTAGAAATCTTTGATTTCACTTTCCTAGAGGCCAAAGAGAAAAATCAGTGGAGTGAGAGGCTACAGGGGAAGGTTAGAAAGTTGTTTTAATGTGAGCTCACTGAGCAGGACAGTGACTTGGTACAGGTTCTAAGTCCAAGTAATCTTCACTATAGGAAAACCAACATATGAATTTTAATAAGTGTATAAATTTTAAAAGGTTTCTTTCCTTTACCTTAGAATTTCTAGAAGTCTTCTTCAAAAAAAATCTTTTTGTGTCTATTAATTGTTTGTTAGAGTAGTAAATTACAACTTACAGCTTATGTCGATAATGAAAAGTAATTGAACATAATTTGAAAACCAAAATAAATATTCCTCAAAACTGTTACTGAAGTAGGTAAGCATATATATATATATATATATATATATATATATA